CATGATGAATAATGAATTTGTCACGTACCTCAAGACTTTATTTGAAACACCTTAAGAAGTTTAATAAATCCAATAAAACTCTATCAATGTCACATAGGCCTTGTAGTCTTTCGGATAGTTCAGCTTTCACATTTATTTATAAGGTTGTGTTTTTGTTCCTTTAGTCCGACTATCGTCCAGCTTGGAGGTCTGATCGTCCACTTGGATATCTTCCCCTCAGTGAGCTTGACAGCGGCTTGGGCTGTGGGCCAGACAGCCCGCACCACAGGGTGGCACTCTCTGAAGCCGAGACAGATGCCATGTCATCTCTGCCAGGCCACACCCCTTCCTCCCAAGGCTCCACCTCTTCCTCCGAGTCCCTAATCTCGTCTGAACCCAGCGACTCTGGCTTCCACAGCGTCAGCACCGGGGAGCACCGACGCCTGCACAAGATTCACGGGGCCCACAACCACAGGCAAACTCCCCACCTCCGATCAGGCCACTCCCCTCGAGAACAGAGAGGACGCTGGGACTTGGAGTCCATTCCCGAGACGACGCCGGTAATCCACTCTGGAACGCCGCAGGCATCCCACTGCTCGGTGGGTAATAGCACGACCACAACAGTGCACTTCCACAGAGCGGAGAGGAGTCCCACTTTACCGCGTCACCGTTCACCACCGTCACCATCCGTTGGTGAGAAAACACAGATATGTCCATAAACTGCAACTCTGGGTCATTTTTGAAAAGAATCAGGATGGAATTATTCAACTGTTGTAGCTATAATTCTGAAGTTATTGTTACTGCTCTGTCATTATTTAACTGATTGTTAGCCTCCTTAGCGAGCATGAGGCTAAATATATTTTACATACTAACTCTTGTAGYTTGTTGCAGACCTTTGTTATAACATTTGTGTTAATGTTTGTTGTACTGTTGTCTGCAGGTTGTCGCACCGAGCCTTGCCAGAGGAGGGCGCTGTGGTTGGAGCAGCAGCAGGGTGGAGGCAGGATGATGGAGGCTCCAGGGAGGAGTCGAACGATAATGGATCTGAGTGAGGGGCAGAGGCGCCGCCGGGCGAGTCACCCCAACGTGACGGACCAGAACACTCCGAGGAATACACACCAGAACAGCCAACCCAGTCCGACCAGTGACGCGATGGGGCCCAGGAGCAGGGCCAGTTATCCCAGCAACGGTCACCCCGCCGGGCGCCTCAGCATTGACAGACCCATTCTGACTAATTATCCAAGCTCAAACCGGAGCAGAGAGGAGGACTCCYTCTCTAAGAGTCCTGGATCTGCCTCCAGTGGTATCTCAGACTGGAGAGGCTTTCAGACTCTAGGGAGTCACACAGAGACCTCTAAAAGTTCATGTGTTCCTTTGTACAGCACTCTGGGAGCCCCTCAGCGAAGTCCTCGATCTCCAACTTCTCCCCGGTCCAGACTGTCCAATCAGAAGTCTGTCAGGAACCAGCTGCTCAGAGCCCGAGCCTACCGATTGGCAAGGGAACGCAGCGAGGTCACGACAGATGAAGGAGAGGGAGCAAGGGAAGGAGACGAAGAAGGGGATGACGGACGGTGGGCAGGGCGATACTGGAGTCGGACGGAAAGGAGGCGTCAGATGGCTTTGTCACGGCAACATCGAGAGAGGAGAGGGGGCGGGGAGGACCAGGTGGGGGGAGGCCAGGGGCCGCTGTCGTCTCAGACGGTGTTGGAGCTGAGCCACATGAAGCAGAACCGCCTGAGGAACAGCAAACTGCTGGATGACTGGACCACGGTGGAGGAACTGCTGACGCACGGGACACGGGTGGAGAGCGACAGTCAGCTCTGCCCGAGTCCCCTGCTGTCAGTGACCACCGTCTGATCAGAACACCGTCACAAGTCCTGAGAGCCTCGCACAGGTCCAGATTCAGTAAAGGTTCAGAATGATTGACACAGATTAATGAAGCCAGTTCACTTCATACAAACAGGTCCATGAGGCTCGAAGTGTCAAATGAAATGTTGAAAAWTTTTCAGTAACATGTTTTTCATTATTTAGATCACTTTGTGAGTGTTAAAAATTTTCCACTATAAKGTTGCTGTTGTTTAGCTCACTGTGCTTATATTTAGCTAATATTTACTAAAAGTTTAAATGTTAAAAAAATATTTAAATATTAAATCCTAAATCTAAATGTTTCAATCTAAATGTAAAAGTTAACCTTAAATGTTTAGGTATTGTGGAACGGAACGCATCCTTTGCTGTTGGCGCTCGGCTCATGTTATGATGTCATCATCCTGAGACAATAGCAACTGCTAGCTCCAATGCAGCTAAAGCTTCGCTACAAGACATCAAACTGGCAGTTCTGGCTGTTGTCTGAGCTTAACTTCAAACTGCTGGACCACCAGAACCACCCATATTGTTCTTACGAACACATTTTTAATTATCTCCAGCAGTGTTAGCAGTGGCTAGCTGTGCTAGCAGGGGATATTTTTTATATTTGTTGCAGGATGATGACGTCATGCTGGTTAGCTAATCCTGCTAAAGATAGAGTTCAGAATTTAATATTTAATTGTTTTTTTAACATTTAAACATAACATTTAGTAAAAATTGTCAAAATGTAAGAACAGATAGCTAAATTACAATAAAATTATAGCAGAATATTTTTAACACTCAAAAAGTGAGCTAAATAATAATAAAAAATATTAGTGATACTTTTACCATTTCATTTTACACTTGGCGCCCCATACAGTTCATCTCCGAGTCCAATTATATACAATTCCATTGGAGTCTAATTTATAAATGTAGGATTTTAGTTTAATAAGAACCGTTTCAACATCTTTATGTTCTCATCATATATTCTTCTACAAACAGCTAAAATACATGCTCTTCTAACGCAAACACATCTTAAACAAACATGCATGATTTCTTCACATGCACACATTTTCTTACATTCTTGATTTCTGTTCATGAACGTGAGAAAAAAGTATGATTGTGAGGGGTAATATGCATGTATGTATAGGTGAAATAAATATGAGCTGCAGTGAAATATGGCCTAAATGGCCCCTCATACAGGTGTAATTGGGTTTATAAAGTTCTAACTTGTATAAATCTCAAGTTGTCATACAAACATTTTACCAATAATTCTATTTACTGGTGTTTTTAGGTGCATTAAAATCAGTGGATCGACGTGATCAAAAGGGAAAATCTGAGCAATAATTTCAGAAAAACTTTCTTCTGCAACTTTTTTGAATCTGGATCAGTTTTGTCGAGGTTCTTGTTTGACTAAAGAAGTTTGACCTTAAATGGATCTAAGAACAAACCTGAAATATTTGCTGAAAGATGAACAAATTAAACTAAAACAAACCATGAAAATCTCATCAGTCCTGCAGAGAGGAGTTCGAAGCAACGAGAAGTGAAGTGTTTGTGCAGCTCTGAAGGATCTTCACGCACCAGACGGCCCGCAGGCTGCAGATCTCACACGAGTGACGTCGTCTTGTGGAAAATCAGCCTCTTTGTTTTGGTGTCAGAGAAGCTCTGAAAGTGTTGGACCTTTCTGAACCTGCCTCAGTTCTGGTCCACCCTGACGTCGTTCCTCCTCCTGGTTTCCTCTATCTAAAACCTCCTCACAGCGGAGCAGAGCGACGGGTCAGTAACTGCAGAAACGGGTTCTTCATGCTCAGAAAGTCTCGACTGGTCAGAGATTTGCCACCGGAACCAAATCTTTATTTTTTTTTAATCTTTCAAACAAAAATGTTGCTGCTCAGATGTTTGCTGCTGTTGTTGGACTGTTGGCTAAAAATCCCTTCAGTCAAAATCTGCAGTCAGTTTGTTGAAAACAGAAATAACCTAAATAAAACTGAGGCAGACGTCTTTAACTCCTGCACAGTTAGCAGTTAAACATGTCTTGGCCTTTCATATTTAAAGTACTGGGCTTTTATTTTTTTACAAAATAAACCCGAGTTGTCTCTAAAATTTAATTAAATAAGGCAGCAGTTGCAGAGAAAAATGATCTAAATGATAATTTGAGAACACTTYTGCTTGAAAGAACATGAGAACGTCTGCAGAACCACCATGGTCCAAACAGCTGATGGTTCAGTTTGATGATGTCACAGCAGGCAGCGCCTCAGGCTCTCTGATTGGCTGGTTTTAGTAAAACACTAACGAGGAAATCGCAACAAACATTTTCATGGAGTCTGAGGAAGACGAGTGAGATGAAGGAGGTCAGGATGAAGATCAGACCATCACTTTTAAAACGTCCTGAACTCTGAGGGAAAAAAAACCATCAGGGAGCTCAGAGACCGGATCAGAACCAGAGCCAAACTTCAGTGTATAATAAGGGCTGCTGTGAGCCGACATGATTCCGGTGAAAGAAGCGAGGGAGGAAATAATCTTCATCAGGTTAAATGTTGTGATTTAATCAAACTGTTCAATGCAATTTTGTTAAATCTGATGAAAAATATCTGTTTATTTTCATATTTTGTGACTTGAAGGAAATGAAACACTAAGGAATGAGATCAGAATCATGATAAATGTTCATGCACCAGAGAGACRGGAACAAACGTGTCTGAGGTCCAAAAGAACCAATTACTTTTATTCTGAGTTCATGTTGAAGAGAAATGTTGGATTTCTGTTTTTTTGGTTCGGATCCACCTTCACACTGGACCTTAGAAAACATGGTGCAGTTTGAGGGCCACARTTAAGTCTTTTTATTGCATGGATAGCAAGTCTAGCATGGATATCATTGGAGAGGCTAGTGACTAGCATGGATAGCATTGGAGAGGCTAGCGACTAGCATGGATAGCATTGGAGAGGCTAGTGACTAGCATGGATAGCATTGGAGAGGCTAGCGACTAGCATGGATAGCATTGGAGAGGCTAGTGACTAGCATGGATAGCATTGGAGAGGCTAGCGACTAGCATGGATATCATTGGAGAAGTTAGCGACTAGCATGGATATCATTGGAGAGGCTAGTGACTAGCATGGATAGCATTGGAGAGGCTAGTGACTAGCATGGATATCATTGGAGAAGTTAGCGACTAGCATGGATATCATTGGAGAGGCTAGTGACTAGCATGGATAGCATTGGAGAGGCTAGCAACTAGCATGGATATCATTGGAGAAGTTAGCGACTAGCATGGATATCATTGGAGAGGCTAGTGACTAGCATGGATAGCATTGGAGA